TTTTTGAAGCAGAAGATTTGAACAGCAACACCCAACCCCCCCCCACCTACAAAAATGTATTCAAACACAAAGAACACCAACTGAGCAACACCTCAACCTCTCCCCCCACCCGCAGTCCACGCACCCCCTCCTCCAAAAAAAGAATGTTATCCCATACCTTACCAAACCAATAGCAACAAAAAAATCAAAAGAAATCACAAATGTGGGCAAATCAGACAATTACATATACAATACATATAAACAAAATACCATAACAAAAATAAAAAAGGACTAAATGGTTTTAAAAAAAACATTGAGGACTATATAAAGCAACATTTCCCCCCATGGGATTTATGTGTAATTTTTTCTAAATACTAAATATAGCCTAAAAATCGATTTCGGATTGACTTTTATACTATTATTGTCCTAAGAATAATCCATGAGTTACTTGTGTACTTATTTATTTATTTGTATTAAATTGTTATATAAATATATATAATCAAAATAAGAAATATGTATATAATTTTTTTTCATAGTTATTAACATTTTAAAATATTAAGTATGAAATTTATATATTTATTCTTAAATACGACTAATGTCTATTCTATTAATATTAAAGTATATTTACATTTGAAAACAATATCCAATATTTAGATTGGGTATGTGTTATGCTTTTGGCTTAAAACTTGCTTAAGAGAAATGAAATGTTAATTATTAATTTAAACTTTATATTTAAAATTTTAATTTTTAATTTCATATTTTTTTAATAGGACTAGGACATGTACACTTGAATTTTATAACTCTTTATAAATTATTATTAAAATTTCATTTCCATTTTTTGTTCTAAATTTTAAATTAGTTGTAGGGTTAAATATGGTTAAATTTTTGTTTTGAAATTCTAGTTACATTTTAAAAAATAAAATAAATTAAAGTTAGATATGGCTAGATAGACCAATAGTTTTATGCCACATGTATTTCATGCTACATTTATTTTTATTTTTTTTAAGTACAAATATGTTCATTTGAAGTTACATGTATAGGGATATTTTTTTTTTTTAAGTTACATGTATTTTTATTTTTATAAGGATAAAATTGCATTTGAAATATTATTTTGAATTTTTTTTTTTAATTTCAAACTAGATATGACTTAGATTTTGATAAAAGATATGGCTAAAATTCATTTTTTAACTTTCTATATAAGTAATTTTGAAATTTAAAATTATAGATATAAATAGTAATAATAATAGATACCATAAATAGTTCATAAATTAATAAATTTAAAAGTTTTTCCATATTAATCAATGATTTAATTAAAATGTTAAAATAAAAGAACAAATAATAATGTGCCATGTGTATTTTTATAATTTTTTAATTCAAAAATTTATGAAAATAGTGTTAGAACTTTGAGGCTCAATGAACCAACAACGTTTTTGCTTATATTATATGGGAACTGGATCATACTGTTTGGCCCGTGAGACCTATAACGGATCTCATTTCGATGATTTGAACTAGGGCTGAGTATAGGGTTATTCGACCCACGAAGATCGCCTAACCCGACTACTCGCACCTATTTGGACGGTTTCGCATAATTGTTAGGGTTGGATGTGAGTTAGGATTTTCCTGTTTTGTGGGTTGCAGGTGGGTCGGGGGTTTTACCCGCGCCCGGACTCACCTGCCTGCATATGTATATATTGTTTAGCTTATACATTTTTTCTGTAAAGTGAATGTGAGTCAATTGACTGATTCTGACCTGTACTTACGATATGTTTCCTTCTAGAAGTAAATTGGATAGATTGGCTGTAATTTATTTGGGATAAATCATTTGGAAAATAATGATTTCATGATAAGAAATATGCAATTTTATGTCCAAATAATATTTAAAAAATGGAGGGAAAATCCCAAAAAGAATATTTAAAAAATGGGAAAAAAAACAAGCCCAAAAATAAAATTTTAAAGGAAAAACCGAATCTGCAAACCGCCCGCACATCTGCAAACTCTATCCGCACAAACCGCAATCCTCACATCCACAAATCGCAATCCACACTGTGGGCGGTTGCGGGTTCAATTTTTCCCAAATTGTAGACATATGGGGTCCAAACCGCAAATCGAACAATCAAAAATCGATCCGCGAGCATCCCTAATCCGAATTGGTTAATGTGTACAGCTCGTCGAGCACTTTGTCACTGCAAAATATCATGTTGATCGGATATCGACATCCCTTTGATCAGAACACATTTTTGTCAATAATTTATTTTTAAAATCATATTTATTATGGACAAAAGACGTGTTCCGATTAAGAGGCTATCGATATCCGATCAACATGATTTTTTTAAGGGATGAAGTACTCAACGAGCTATATACATTGAACTGTTCAGATCATCGAAATGGGAGAGCCTCATAGGCCCAATCGTACGGTCTAATCCATAAAGTGGATTGAAGAGAAGCTCATTCCATAATATATAATTAGTTAAAATTATATACATATTGTACTGACTCGCCGTTGCTAAATTTTTCTTCTTTTAGAAATTTTAAATGTGTGTCACTCAATATATATGAAACAAGGAATCAAAATATGACATTAAAAAAAAATGAAAAAAATAATAAAAGAAATTAATTTCTTATAACTAGTGTTCATTATAAATCCAAGTTTCTAAAAAATAGAATACGGTACCAGCTAATTACTTATCACGTTCATTGAAAAATACATTGAACAGGTCATGCGAATTGGCGAATAGATATGATCGGTTTGGTGATTTGGACTTTACAAATTTTGGACATTTTTTCGAATTATAATTAATTATTTTTACAATCTCCAATGATTAGTAATTTGAAAATATATATATTATTTGTCTATAATAGGCCATGACACCACACATGCATATTTTTAAGGTATTTTTTTTTCATTTTTACAAAAATATATATTTTATTATTTCTACTCTATGTTGTTAGTTGTTAGTAATTCATTTTTTATTTTTGTTTTAAATTTCATCTACGGACGGATCGGATTCATGAGAGTGTAAGATGATCGATTTACCATCCAAATTGTATTAGCGGATATTGAAATATTTTTTCTACATCCGTCTGCCAAAAGATATGTATCTTTCCAAAATCAATCAGGTTGGATTAGATTGATCGGGTTGAACGAGTTGGACGGATCCATGATCACCCTTAAGGCTCAATGAACCAACAACGTTTTTACTTATATTATATAATTAGTTAAAATTATTTGTATATTATTGAGCCTTGCCTCCTCTAAGTTTTTCTTCTTTTAAAAATTTTAAGTGTATGTCACCTTTTATCTTTTTTTTGGTGACCAAAGTATGAGGTGACGTAGGCTCCGCCAGACTTCAGCTTCGGGTTAAGACATTACTTAAGGTAACGTTTAAGGGCACCATACCGAAGGGCGCCGAAGAGCTTCGGGTTAAGACATTACTTAAGGTAACGTTTAAGGGCACTATGCCGAAGGGCGCCGAAGAGTTGAAGCCAAGTTGAAAGCATTTTTGGGCCGACACTTTCTGCTAAACCCACCCCCAAGGGCTATGTCACCCTATATTTATAAAACAATGAATCAAAATATAACATTAAAAAAAATGAAAAAAAAAAACAATAAAAGAAAGTGTTAATTACAAATCCAAGTTTATAGAATAGAATAAGGTGTTATCTAATTACTTATCACATTCATTGAAAAATACATTGTATGAGATTTTAATATCAATTATATTATAGAAATTTGTAATGAGATGAAAGATTGTCAAGTATAACAATTCAGGGTTATTTTGAGAAGTTGATTATAATCAATTTTTTGATTAAAAACTGATTAAAAGTTGATTATAATCAATTTTTTGTGAGAGAGGGAAGTGAGTTATAATCTGGGAAGTGGATTATAACCTACTTCCCAAAAATCCCTCAAAATACCTTACTTTAATAAATAGATTGTTTTATTGTTACTATTTTTTGAACTAACTGTGAATATAAAAAACATGCTATTTATATATATATTCATCTTATTGTACTAATAGAAATTAATATTATAATTCATACTTTTTCTTAAAATTTATTAATATATATGTTCACCCTTTCGTATTTACCTCCTAGCCAAAACCAACATATATTACCTAAATCTAGAAAAGAAAATTTGCAGCTCGTTAAAATAAGAGGTTAGATTACTAATACGTTTTAATAGTTAGAATTAATTCTTATCAAATTCTATTGAAAATAAGTCTTAATAAAATCGTCGCTAAAAATAATTTTTCATGATGATTTTTTACATATATTGTTAAAAATTGACAATTAGTGACTTTTTTGTTATAATTTTTATAAATTGTCTCTAAAATTTATAATTAATGACTTTTTTGTGAAGATTTTTTTTTTAAACTACCATTAAAACTTATAATTAATGACAATTTTTAAATTATTACTGAAAATTAATAATTAGTGACGTTTTTAAATAGTATTTGATAAAAACATGATTAATATGACCTATTGAGGCATCGTTTGACAACTAAATATTTTAGTTTAAAAGTAAAAAAGTTATTAAAAAAATCAAAAAAATAACAACTTATATCAAAAAGTCAAAAATTTGTTTTTCTTTATATTTTACATATTTTTTCATAAAAAATCAAAAAATCATCTCAAAAATATATTTTTTATCCCTTATATTTTAATTAAAAAATTAAAAAATATTAAAATAATATACCTTGAATAATAAATTTTTATTCAGACTTAAATGTAAGTTGTTTAAATAAGATTCTTCATTTCATATAAGGGGTTGTTTGGGATAACATAAATAAATGTACTTTTTATCTTTTTACGAAAAGATGTACAGAGATGTAAAGATATGATGTGATAAAAAAAAATAAAAAAATGAATTATTTTTAAATTACCAACCTTGGCCTTAATAAAAATTGCAACCCATTAAATAAGATTCCTCATTTCATATATTACCTAAATCTTAAATTAAAAAAAAAAATTGCAACCCATTAAATAAGATTCCTCATTTTGATTTCGTAACGTACACCCAAGTGGCAACCATGCACAACACAACCAATGCACCACCAGCTCAGCACCAACACAACCAACCCACCTCCATTTTTACACACCAGAGAGAGAGAGATAGATAGATAGAGAGAGAGAGAGAGAGAGAGAGAGTTAGAGAGAAGATGAGGAAGACTAACCAGAGCAAGAGAAGAATCAATGGAGGCAAAGCAGCAAAAATCGAAGAGAAGGGTTTTGGAAAATGGGAAAGCCTCGACAAAAAACTCATGCTTGACATCTTCAACAGATTGGAACCAGCGTTTTTGTTGACAACCGTTGCTTGGGTGTGCCGATCATGGGGACGTGCGTGCTACGATCGATTCTTCGCCGAAAAAGGAGAGCAGAACACCCTCAATCTCCGCGCCCTCCATAGCATGTCCTTCTGGAATATTCGTATAAATTTCACGAAATTGCTTCGTGGTGTCATGGATGTCTATGCATGTGACAATGATGATGATGATGATTATGAAGATGGTGGTGTTAGGGTTAGGGTTACCCCAATTACCAAAATCATGTTTCCATGGGAGTTTGTTACAGTCACTGATGATCACCTTGTCTATGCTGCAAAAAGGTATAATTTCAATTTTGTTAAGATTGTGGCTAAAACATGTTCAAATTAGTCTGGGTATAGTTTTAATTTGAACAATTTCATCCCACACTTTTTAAGTGGTAGTTTTAATTTGGTCATTCTATCTAAATTGAAAGTTAAAATCAACAATTTTGAGATACTTGTCAATTATCTAAAGTTTCAATTTTTGGTTCTTCTGTCTAAATTGGAAGTTAATATTAACGATTTTGGGATACTTGTTAATTTTGTCAATAACAAAAATTTTGACGGAATGACCAAATTAAAATTAGACTTAAAGTGAAGGATCACATTGTTCAAATTGAAATTTAGAGACTAAAGTGAAACTTGTGTCAAACTATGGTTGAAGAGTGTACTAGTAAGCTGTTATGCAACTTAATTTTAGTTGGTGACTGTCAAACAACTGATCTGTAGATTATATAGATGAGTATTTTCTTTCTATTATTAGTCCTTAGCTAAAAGGGGACCCTCAATTTGATTGAGAAATAATCTCTTTGTGAATTTATTTTTCTAAATGTTTCTGATTTGAACTGGGTGATTTTGTGAAGGACTTGGACTGTCCATGAGAAAACAAAATTAGCTTTTTACACTTATACATGTTGTAGGTCACCCAAGCTTAGAGTACTCTCCGTAGCTTGTGGGTTATATATCGAACGTACAGGATTTTCAAGGGCAATGCAGTGCTGGAGTAGGATAGAGGAGATGACAATTTCGTTCAGTGACAGTGACAGTGACAATCATAACATTGGTTCTATCATTGAGGTGATAGGCATAAACTGCAAGAAGCTAGAAGTACTATGCTTGTTTGGCTTGTTCATAGGTCAGCAATTGTGTCCTGAAATTGCCAAGAATCTCAAGGGACTGAAACTTTTGAGATTGGAAGAATGTCATATTGAAAAAATTGGTTTGAAGTATATCCTGTTAAAATGCAAGAAACTTCAGAAAGTAGAGATCTGGGATTGCATTACCTTAAATTGTTATGAATTAAATTTGTTTGTGACTTGCAAGATAAACAAGGTTGAAGTTGATGGCGTTATTAAATGGTCCCTTGTTAGCGAAGAAGGGCTATATGACCTGAAGGGTCTGCTGAATTTTCTTTGGGGGTCAAGACCGCCCAATCTTAAGAAGGATTTAACATGGTGACTATATAGTTGATTCAATGTCTAAGAGTTATAATGGTTTTAGGACTCCTATTTTGCAAACTCTTTTTCTTTTCTTTTCTTTTTTTTTGTTTTGGGTGCTTGTGAGACAAGGTTTTGTTCGTTTTATGTGAATTTAAGTATGTTTCACCTTTAATTGTTTGCTAGGGAATCCTTGTCATTTTGGCTTCTCTTTGTTAATCAATTTTTCCAACAGCAAAATATGTACACTTTTTTTGTTTTGGTTTTCCATATACATATTAAACTCAGGTGCTTTATTTGATTTCAGTAATCCCTTTTTGAACATTTCATTGGGGGGAAGTGGTGAAGTGTATTGGTAATTACTTTTGTGGCTTGGTTTCATGTTTGATGTCTTTACTTATGACTCACTCGCCTTAGTGTTTGTGATTATTGAGTGGATTTTCATTTTGTAACTAAGGAGGCATTGCTGCTGGTATAGCACGTTAGAGAGTGGATTGAATCAACATACTTCTTCCATGGTTTAAAGAAGTCCATCAAAATTGTTTCTTTTTGTGGCTCCCTCGACCATGTTTCAGTTTGTTACACTTGGATTAGCTGTGTTGACACTTATATCTTGGGTTGTATCACAAAAGGAAACTAAGTTATTGAATGTAGAATCGTAGATGTTTTGACTTATGATGGACAGGCATTAACCATCTAGGCCATTTACTTAAACTACCCATGCTCATACAGTCTCAATGTTAAATTATGATCCATGGACATGCTTTGTTGTGGGTGATATGTTGGTTTTCCAAACACTGGCATGTGTTGTATATGTGTTGGCCCATGTCAAAATACATCTGTCCATTCTTTTCTTCTTCTTTTTTTTTTTCAATTAAAATTTAAGCCACAGATGCTTGTGCACACATGGTACACTTATCTATTGCTTGTACATGTGTGAAACACATCTAGGATACTTTGCCAGCTTAAAAGAATAAAATGGTTGCTGAATATTAAAATTAGAAAGTATATATTTAAAATTTGAGGGACTACCTGATCGATTTAAGGTCCTCTCCCCTTAAATTGTGTCACACAGTACACACACAGGGTCCTAAGATGAAAAAAGAAGTCCGAACTGACAATCATAAGGGCTGCTCGAGCCCGATGAGAAAAACCACCTCCAATGGGTGCAGTTGAGGTGGGCTGACACCACCCTAGTTCTTAATCTCCCTTTTCGTCCTCCCCCCTTCCAAATTTAGCAATGATCTTTTGCTTTATATATGTGATGCTTTCATTGTGACACTAATTCTACTTATCCTTCCTTTAGACTTTTACATTTTAGAATCTAAACCCTAACAATTTCCAGTTTTTTGGTCAGTACTTGGGGTTTTTAAAAATTGAGGTTAGGACTTTTTGTCCCACTCTTTTCCAACATTTTAACATAGAAAATGTATAATATGTTATTATCTTCATATTATATGATGGGGGAACGGAAGGGAGTTTGTTGAAGTTAAATTGAAGATTGGGGATTTATCTTAGTGTTATTTTATTGAAGTTTTTTTTATTTATTTGGCAGCTATTATTAGGGTTTTCTAGGATGCTATAAATAGGCTTATATTTAATAGTTCTATCAAACTATGATTTTTGGGTATTGATTTGGGATTTGTTTCCGGTTTCTTCCCTTTTTTCTCTCTCCATCTCTTTCTTCCCTTTCTCTCTTTCCATCTCTTTCTTTCATCCCTCTTCATTCTCTTATCTCTCTTCACCTTCTCCCTATGGGTGCTACATTAGGTATGGTTTTTTAAATGTTTATAATTGAGAAGTAAATGTTTTGCTTCAAGGATGGATTTAGGCTTGAATTGGTTGACTGCTTGAGGTTGTTTTGACGTCAAATTGAAGGAAAGAGCTTGCTAATTTCTAGACAACAGGGGAAAAATGGGATTTAATCCTAGAATCAAAGTTTGAGGCCTTTGGTATGAATTCAAGGTTTTAGGAGGGTTAGCATGGTTATTAAGTCCTTGTTTGGTAATGGTTTCATAAATCAAAATAAGGAAGAAAAGGAAGATTAAGAAGTGATAAACCTTAGAATTATACTGGCATTATGAGTTTCCTACTGAAAAGAAGTTAATAGTGTCTCACTCACCCCTTATAGAAAACATAAATTTGTTAATGTATTTTATTTAGTTTACTAGTAAATGTCAAGTCACAAATTGTCTAAAAAGCTTAAGTTGTTAGGAAATGGGCCCAATGGTGTATATCAAGCCTTTCAACAATTCCATGCTATACAAAAGACCTTTTTTTTGGGGGGGGTCAATTGAGGATAAGCAAGCAAGAATGGATCAAGTTCCACCCTTTCCGATATGAATATGAATATGAGCTAAGCTGACTGAGCTCTCTCTTCCGTCCTTTATTTAGAAGATTCGTTAGAAATATCACAAGACTTGCATCATATTGGATAGTCAATTATGGAAAAAAGTTCAACAATATATTATTATAAGCACACCACAAACTCAACAATCATACAAGATAAACCCCCAAACAAATACAAGGGGGAAAGACAACCGAACACCTAACCTCCTAATGAGGTGTATGGGCTCTTGACCAACGGACTAGCGCCTTTGGTTTGGCTATACAAAAGACAGACTTACATCGAAGCAAAATCAACCCGCGAAATGGAAACTTTCGTCGTGAAAAAATCCTACTCAAGAAAGGATTTCTAAACTAATAAAGGCTTAACTATTTCCACACATGAAAAGGACTTGACAAAGGCTGTAACCGAACACCTTGCTAACTTGGACACTTGGGAAAGAAAAATTACTAACTTACCCCTATAATCTGGAAAGTTATGACCTTACATAGCCCTATTTAAAAAGTCTAATTATTCATATCAAAAGGAGCTAGGGCCATTAGAGTTCTACGAAACCCATGTAAACATGTTAGCAATCACACAATATTAATGGTGGTGCTTATTGGTCAATTTGTCAGCCCATGTGGACAGATTTCTTTTTTCTCCTTTTCTAGGCATACTCTTTAAGGTGCTTAGCCTAGATAATGGGCGATTAGAAGGTGTAAAATTGGGTTTTGAGTCACAAAACTACAATTTTCCATCTGATGTTAAAGAGTTTGCACCAATATATATATATCTACATAAAATGGGTCCATTGGTTCAGTGGTTAAAACTCAGCCTACTAACCTTGAGGTTGTATATTTGAATATGACAGCAACCGCTTTGTGCAAATTATGCCAAAGGCTATACCCAATCTTCCCCTCCAAAACCCCCCATAAAATGGGGTCTAACCTGCGCATAGTTATATGTACATAATAAGTATAAGAATGTTGTTTGAGTATTAGTTGTTTTATCATAGGTTTGACAATTTTTATTGCATTAAAGAATCATAGATGTATTTGGCGATGCATTGATTGTATGTATCGTTATTTGTAAATGCTAATGATGTAGGAGCTCTCGTATAAATCATATTATGCTATCCGCATGATAGTCTAAAAAGCTGAGCTTTTGACATCAACTAATTCTTTTTGGAAATACCACTTGGTATTTTTGGAAAATAAAAAGTTCATGCCATAAAGATAAAGTGTATTAGATTAGTGAGAGAATTTTCTTTTCTTTTCTTTTTCTTCCTTTCCTTTTATTTTTCCCGTAATCCTAGTGGAATATAGTAAATGAGGGTGATTGTTGATTGAACAATAACTACATCCTTAAGGAGAAATATGTTAGGAAGAACCTAGCCAGGGGAATGAACAAGACAATTGTAGTATTTTGTTAATTGTTCCTTATAAATTCTATTTTAAAATTCCAATCTTGTTTGATACATGGATCACTATATATATGCAAAGCACTTTAGGAACCTTTCTAGGCAAGTGAAGAATTTACAAAAATTTACAAAAACTAGTTGAATTTTGTAACAAGGCAATGAGGTTGAATATAGTTAGATAATGGAGACAGAAAAGAGAAAAGAAAGAACACAAAAGTTTAACGTTGTTTAGCCAATATTGGTCTACATCCACACACACAAATCCCTAAGGGTTACATCTTTCATTCACTTAACTTGATACTCTTGTTTACATGATACACCATATATATAGAGTGAGAGATACAATCAAATCCCTTCAGTTAAGGAATTGAAATAAATCAAAGATACAAAAAATCATAATAAGCATGAATCATGGGATCTCCATATATTCTAATATCTTCCATATCTTTAACAATATGATCTTATCTCCAACATTCCCCCTCAAGTTGGAACACGGAACGGTTGAAGTGAAGTATCCAACTTGAACTCGAAAATAGTATGATCATTATAAATAACTACAATGAAGTTGCCAAAAAACAATAACAATTGTAATAACTCCCTCAATGACAACCTCAACGAACATAGCAAGGAATCAACATCTTGCAACAGAGAAATGAATCAATCATGATGGCAGTAAGAGAAACCAATTGAGAGAGAGAAAGTAAGAAAGTCGAAACAATAGCAAATCACCACAAATAGGAAGGCCGAAAAAAGGCATCCCACAAAGAATGCTACCGAACACACTAGTAGCCAAAAAATAAAAAAGAACCAAATATGTACTTACTAAATTGGTGCAGGGACCTTACAAGGGTAGAAAAGTAGCCGGAAAACTCAGACTATCACAAAATAATGCTACTGAACCCACCGGCAGCCTCAAAATAAGTAAAAATCATGAATTTTGCTTACCGCATCAATAAACTAGTGATCAACTCAAGAAAGAGGGCAAAAAACCTTGATAACAAAAAATATGAAGTGAGAGAGTTCTCCATAGAGAAACATGCCTAGGGTTCAGTAGGCTCTGATACCTAGTTGAATTTGTAGTAAGACAATATGGTTGAATATAGAGAGATAATGGAGAGAAAAGAAAAAGTAACAACACAAAAGTTTAACATGATTCAGCCAATATTGGCCTATATCCACACACACACAAAGCCCTAAAGGGCTACATCTTTCATTCACTCAATTTGATACTCTTGTTTACATGATACACCATATATATAGAGTAGGAGATACAATCAAATCATTTCAGTTAAGGAATTGAAATAAATCAAAGATACAAAAAATCACAATAAGTATAAATCATGGGATCTCTGTATATTCTAATAGCTTCCATATCTTTTGATATTTTTGACAATATAATCTTATCTCCAACAAAACCAAGGCAACCAATATAATGGTCATGAAGGAACTTAGTGCATAGACACGGACATGGAGCATGCTAGAATGGATATGATACCACCATGACGCAAGATGTTGCAAGGGGAAGTCTTCAAAAGATAAATATGTATTCCCATGTACATATGCTTTTCATATGGAAGATATAATTTTGTCAATTGCACAAATGAAAGAACATATATTAAAAATGTCAGGCTTTTGGGAGAGATGGAGGAAGTGGATCCAATCTGGTATCTCAATGGTTTGATTGCCCATTAAGACGAAATGCTCTCTTACTGTTTTCTCTTGACATTTGTAGGAGTATAAGAAGGGCAGCTTCTGTTCCTGACATATATTTAGGTCAAGGATAGCCAAGGAGGGTTTATGGACGGTCTTACCGTGGATAGGATAGGAGAGGAGAGGAGAGGGAGATATCTGACAATTTCATTTATTGTATGCAGATGACACGATTATTTTTTGGGAGTGCAAGTATACTAGCTTGGTTACTTTTGTTGCCTATTATTGTGTTTTGTGGTTGCCTCTGTGCTAGGGCATATTGAACTTGAATTTTGAGGTAACCCTTCTCGCTCCACTCCTATTTGGATGAGTTGGGTAATAGGTAAACAGGAAGGAAAGAGTACAAGGAGAAAAAAAAAGTTAGACTCGTTATGCGTTTGGAATAGGTTCTTATTTAATGGTTTTAAGCCCATCCATCTTGATTATATATATATTTAGAGATACCTTAGTACCTATCCAAAATTCTTTATTTATTCTTGTACGAATTGATTTCTTTCTACAATCACCTTTTAATTGTTTGACAAATGAAGCATAATAAAGTTTTTAAGACTTCCATTTACATTTGATAGGGTCTATTTATGTAGTAAAAACATTCCCCAAAGTAAGGGAATTTTACAGAATTCACCATATCTGACAGGTCAAGTGAGATGATAGATTGGGGAGTGTTTTTACTAAATAGATAAACCCTATCTTGTGCAGTGTTCTATTAAGTTTTGGACCTCAATCACTTCTTTTGTGTTGTAGGATGTGTTATTTCGAAGAAAGGAATAACATTCATGACCCCATGATCGGAAAATACAAGCAATGGTCGATAACAAGAAAGCTGATTCCTAGAAAGTGAAGATCTACATTAAGAGATCTCTCTTATACCAATCTCAGTCTCACTTGCACTGCTCCTACCTCCAATTTTTATTCTCTTGCTTTGATGGTATGACCTCGTGTTGGTTGGAATGATTTGTGAAATATTGGCGATGCATCAAGATGAGGAAGGGGAGTTTTTTCAAGACGTGACAGCTCAGAGCAAGGGTAGTACTGGTAAGGAGATATGAAAACAAATATGCTTGTTATGTGTTTCTGGAAGTTCAGACTAAACACCAAAGGAGGTATATTTTAATTTCAGAAAAATGGAAAATATGGTTTAAAAATCTTGCACTGGATTTCTTCCAATACCATTTCAAACTCATCCATTTTCTTGTTAGGTAAAATTTTCTGGTTTCGTACTGACACTTAGATGTAAGAAAGGATGAATGATTGTTTTCAATGGCCTGAATTTTGATGGATTGACAAAAAATTGATCATCCAAATGAGTCAGGTTTGAGCCCAAATTATCCTATTATGAAAGAAGATTAATTAGCTTAAATTAATGACTTCAAACCAAGGGGCTTTAGCCTAGTTGGCTAGCCCTTTGGCCACCAAAGTCTCTCCTAAGGGGGAGGTCTTGGGTTCCACTCCTAGGAGCGGAATGGGAGGGCAAGATTTTCTTGCAAGATGCATGGATGTAAGTTTCAACTCCCCCAAGCTACTAATCTAACAACTAACCACCGACATTCGCCGATCAAAAAAAAATAATTAATGACTTCAAGTTCAAGAAGGACCTGAAGAAGAATGAAAAAACTACTCATATTTGCCACCCTTTGGGTGTCAATCAAAATCTTTGGGGATTTTCGTTAAGAAACAAACAGAGAATCTTTTCTTTTCTTTTCTTTTTCTTTCTTGTTTTGATCAGCAACAGAAGTAAATTCATTAATAAATAAAAAGAAAACAAGAAGAGGACAAGTTGCCCTCTTTGATGATTTATCATTATTATTGAGCAAAATGCTTAGTATTTTCTTTTGTCATTAATTCTGTATTAGTGGTTACTCTATGGAAGTAACAAGTCGGCATTTAAAAATAGAAAACAGCATTCAACTTATGGAGTTAAAAGGAATCCTCAAAAACTTTCCTTAAAAACACAGGAGGTCTTGAGGCTTCTCTGATATTTACATTTACTCTGCTCTTTATTGTGTCTATATGTCATATCAGGTAATCTAGTAATATGCACCTTCATATAATATAATTTAACGCTCTCCATTTGTTTGACTGAAATCAATTCCTGACACAAACTCGTTCTTTATTGAGTTGCCTCTCTTCCAATTTACTATTGGCTGCTACCACATACTTCAGATAAATCTTTTCCAGGTATGTTGAGGGTTCTATTAATCTAAGAAATTTTTTGTTGAACTGAGCAGAAAATTTTCCACTACCTTTATTTAGCACATGTATCAGTACTTGTTGCTTGTTGATGTCATTTTTCCCTGTTAAAGAAAGTGATTTTCATTTCAAAGATTGGGTTTATAATTATTTTAGATCATAACTTGACAATCTAACAATCCTTCCTATACATCTCTAGGTGTTGTTTGATCATCCCATCAATTTATTGTGCCTTAAATGCTTATGGCTTCAAGAACTGTGCAATGGCTTCCCTACCTTGTCTGTGATCTTCATATCTAACTCTGGTTGATTTCTTCTTTTTTTTGGATAAATAAGCAAGCGACCTTTATTAAAAAAGCATCAAGATGATGCAAAGAATTACAAAACCCCAACAAAGGGAATCACTCTCTAACCAATAACCTCATCCAAAAACTCTAAAAAACCAAACATATCTGGATTAATTTTCAATTCTAACCAACTATACAAAACAACTAGTAAGCGACCCTCAAGCCAACTAACAGTACGCTGAATCTCCTAAAACGTACATTTATTCCGTTCCAACCACAATAACCACATCAAACAAAAAGGAACCAAATAC